CGGATCCGCTCGAAAGCGTTGCACTATCTCATTGTCCTGCAGTTCTTTGTTGTCATAAATTCGTGGTCTTCCCAGGTCTGTATTTCGTCTCAAAACAGAGCCAGTTTCTCGAAGTCTTAGATAAACTCTGTTAAAAACGGCCACATCCGGCACTCGACGACCGGGGAAGCGAGTTCTGTATTCGTTGCGAGCTTGCGCAGATACACAATCGCAGTATCCGTAACAAATAAGCATATCAGCATATTCCTCGGGTGTGTAGGACGTCATCTTCAACACTTCCGTATCACAAGTACAAATCAGAGTCCAGTGAACAAGCACAGTATTCACAAATCAGAAGAAATAGTCCAGAATCGTAGCCAAGTCGAGGAAAAGAGCAAAACGATATCACATCTACTATGTACGAAGCACAAAAGCAGACTGACAACCAAAACAACATCCCGTGTTGGATTTCCAGCCCTAACCGGTTATTATAATATGTTTTCTTTCATTCGCACCCACATTAAATCGTCATGTCTCGCTCGCACGGTGCGTCTAAACTTGAAGGAGAATAGGCGTGGGAACTGCTACTGGAGCGTCCCAACTACTTTTTTTCTACGAAATGTAATACAAATCCTAGATTGTTATACCTCGTTAGATAGCTGATAAAACATAGATATTTTAAAACACATCTGCCGAACAATTGCCATAATATTTTTTTTAGATATCCCTTCGAGAAAAATAAACTTTCTGATATTTTTTTCAATTTCTTAACATTCACTTATCTACTACGGCCTATTCAATTAACTTATGGACTATTTTAATGATTGACGTCCTAAAGAATCTTATTACACATGTTAAAATGCAATAATAGTAATAATAACACACACAAAATAAAAATAAATACATTTAGTAGCCTAAAAATCGGCAATTTTCAATAAAAACATTAAAAGTTGAATATCTCGAAAAGGGTTAAGTTTAGGGTAGGGTGTTTCATAATGAAATAAGTCAGAAATGATGGGTACTACACGCCCTTAACGGATCTAGCACGACTTTTCCTGTAACCCTGTATAAATAAGGAAACTATATATATACGGTTGAAGCTGGTTATTGGCAACCCTGGTAGTGTTCTCAAGAATCATTTTGAATCAAAGATGTTCATCTCCAAAATCCTGCAAAATACCACCCCAGTTTTTCTCTTTTATGAACTACTGCTTCGAAAATCCAGAGCAATTACATCAACTGAATCCTAAACTTAAGATTTTCAATAATAGATAGTTAAACATCCAAAGGAAGTATTCTAACGATCCGTGGAGTCGATTTATACGTATTCTCGTTCATATATGAGCAAATATACTATATCTAATGTTAAACACTCTGTAAAATAATGAGAAATATTCAAATATCCCCAAACGTTGTCCGCATCTCCAGATCATATTTTTTTTTTGTCAAAATCAATAATTTTGCAAAAGATCCTAACATTCTCAGTTGTGTTTGTATTGTGCTTGTCGGATAAAGTTGGAAACAACAGCCAATTAACCCTTTCGATCATCTTGTGTGGTCAATAATCCTTCCCTCCCCTTGAATATTATTAATTCATAGCGAGACATTCCATCCAAACTTTTCTTTAGAATATTCAATATTTCAGATGGAATTAGAATGGATTCGTTCTAAAACGCTGGGTTGTATGTCCACACGTATTATCCTTCACTGATCTGATTTTAAGCTGGGTGCATCTAACAATTCCTCGGCTGAAAAAATTCCTAAGATAAACTTTCGGATAGATAATCCTATTAGTTGGCTATACAGTCGAGGTTCATAAATAAGATTGACTTAAGAGTTTAATTTTAAGCCTTATACACTATGCAGCGTGGTTAGAAAAATATAGTGAACAAGTTTAAGTGCGTTAGAAAGACTAGTATCCGCATAACATACAAGATGAGTAGCAGGACGTAGTTGTCAATTTCTGTAGGTGGTACTAGGTGGTATCAGCTTGAAAACACATACGCGGCATAATTAGGGAGTCGATTCGAATCTTTCTCAATTTTACGGGGGGTCTCGGCAAATATAATAATAATAATAATAATAATAATGACTTTATTCAAAAGATGATCATAGTATGGCGAAGTTTAGCCATGGCTACTCTACCACTTAACCATACTACAACCAGACATTACAAAACATTAGCATAACAACATGAATCAGTAGCTGTAACGAATGCATTAAAAATATATACAACAAATATGAACATATACAAAGAAAAGAAACAAAAGAACAAGATATCATTCAGCAAAATGAATTTATCACATATATTTTTCTATATACGATATACCGCAGCAGCCGCGCGACAAGCCTACATACCAGGGCACTGCGGCTACTATGAGGAGCTGAAAGAAACTTTGCCAATCCGATTCTGGGTGTTTGAAGTTCGACACGGTTAGGATGGAAGGACGAGGTCCGTCGGGTCTGTCTGACAGGCACATCGCGCGGCGACATCATGTACTAAAAAAACAAAACTGTATTATTCGCTGAGTGCGTGATGACAGCGCCACCTAGTGGACTGAACTATTGGCACTTGTGAATATTATTGAAAATAACACGCACTCGATTTGACATTAGGAACAATTTTAATTTGAAACTGAAAATTCTCATCCGATAAATGATGACGAAATATTTGCATTTTTGCAGGCGTCAGTTGACCGCACATAACTCAAACTCACGCCTCTATTCCAATATCAGACACTTGATGTTTTCCCTTTTTGTCACACAGGTACGGTATGTCTGAGAGTTTTAGCTATTTCAATCCTGTATGCTTGATCCCAAACGTCGTTTTCTAAGTCATCCAGTAGGTCTTTCCACATCCTCTGTTTAACGTTCATTTTGAGCTTTTCTACGTAAACGTAATATTCAAAATGCTGATAGTCTGGGATCCCATGTACTATGGCAAGTCCCTCGTAGGAATATACGAAAATTACACATGCAACTCTAGGCATGCGAATAAAGTGACGAACATTTAAACGTTGATCTAAAGTTTCTCTGTCAACAGTCAACATCCATCAATTTCATTACGAAAAATCGGTAATTGCCATTTATTTTTTTTTGTAAATCCAGTAATTCGGTCTGTTTCAAACGTGAATATTTGTAGCCTATACATGAGCATTCCTTGCTGCTATTCCATCGTGCGGTGATTTACTGATACAAGACTTGGAATGAAAATAAAACATATCGACGCACTGTAAATCTTTCCTCTCGAGACAATTTTATGTTTTGGAATGAAAATAATCCCGCCAGTCCTTCCGTCTGGAATATACAGGGTGACTTTGAAGTTGAGTCATTAATTTTCAGATAATAATTGTAGAAGGAAGATAAACCAAAATATGTGTGTAAAAATAAAAAAAAAATTAAAAAACAAATTTTACCTTGTTTTATAAAGTATCCTCCCGACAAGTATTTCAGTGCGGACCTGTATTTGATCGTGAGGTCTTGGAGCACCGGCATGCCGTCCATATGTGAGGTCTTAAGTCAAATGTTTCACGAACCCGTTGTACTACATTAACAAAGGCACGAGGGTTTGGTTGCACTCGATTGGGAAACCGATCCGCATAAACATGTGCCATTTTTTATTTCGTTTGAACCACGCAACAGACACCACTATCCACGACCGACTGACACTGACTGTATACAACTGAATGAAATAATTGTAAAAACATCGTTCCAAATTCTTTCGCTTTTTTGTTTCCGATACGATGAACCGATAAGGCGAATTATATCCGTTGTCGCCAAACACGAGCACATAATATTATTATTGAGACAGGGCGGTACTCAAACTTCCAAAGGGCTATAACTTTGTTACTTTAATTTTACCAGAAAAATGGTAAAGGAAAAAAACATTTCTTTAGATCAGATCTACTCACTGTTAAAATAAAGACTCAACTTCGAAGTCACCCTGTATAATGGCCAGTAGCCAATTGTGCGCGGATTTTTATCTCAAGACATTTAATTTTTATTAATTATCACGAAGTACACAGGCCGACAAGATTTTCACCCAAAAACTAGAGTGTTACCTAAGGTTTTTGATGTGCTGCATCCGATTTTGTGGTCCAAATCTCTCAATTCTCTCTAGTTTCCGAGATATCCCAACGATTGCACACTCCTTTAAAATAAGAAATTACTTTTTTTCTGATAAAAACTGAACCAATCTAATTCACAATATTCAAGACTTACCCAAACCACAAACCTCCTGTCTACCTTTACATTCTACACCAAGTATGCGTTTCAACTTTCGATTGAGCACCTTTAAAAGAAAGAAAAAGACGACGATGTTAAGATACTTACAAATAGTGACAATATTAAGCTCGGTATTGAAAGGGTAGTGGGCTTGTGGGTAAGTTTTAGATATTTTATGGATTGATAATTTATGTTTTTGTTTTAGATGGTAGGTCTTATTTCATAAAAATATGTTGCTATTGAGTCTCAGGTGTATAATAAACCAAACCATGACCGTGTAGAGTATCAAATATAGAGAAATTCAAAAAAATTAAAATTCTAAGGTACCATATCTCAGCGAAAGAAAAAATATTCAGACAAACTCAACGGCATTTGAAAGAGGAAAGCTTGTATCTGTAGATGTCTGTGGTTATTTGAGAAAACTAAGAATATTTCGCCATTGTATATGACCTCAAATATAGTTAAAGACAGCTATTTTTGCACATTTAGGTTAGGATATCTCAAAAACTACAGCCAATTGAGAAATTTTAATCTAGTGCATTAAAAACCTCTGGGAAAGTATACCCTAGCTTCTGGATAAAAAGGTCGCTTATTCGTCCAACAATTACGTTCAAAGATCCATAAAGTGACTTGTCAACTTGACGCAAAAAGCGTCAGGAAAAATCCTCACAGAAAGGTATCGCACTAAGTTAATTGCTGTTCATTCCTGTTGAGATTTCGTGACGGAAATACTGACTCTCATTCTGTGAGAATTCCATCTTCCATATATGAAGCCCTGAATATCGTCCGGCTTGCATATCCTCTATTGTCTATTTTGGATCTTGTTCGTCACTAGCATTCTAACTGGTTCAGTTTCAGGAAGACTACGACGATGAAGCAGACGAGGAGAACCACGCTCCTTGGGACGAGCAGAACGATGTCCAGCCACCTGGGACGCCATCTAAGACTGCTCGATCGTTATCTGTTAGAAAACCGGCCAGTTCGAAGAACGATAAATGGGACTACTACGGCACCAGGAACCAGGTATCTCTTTTCTGTTCTTAACATAAATGATTTATACTCGAACAGTTTTAATCTGATACCAAGATGGAACACATCGTACGCCACTGCTAACGCGGTGTAAGTTTGAATACGGCGGGACCCGAGCGCAACTACCCACGTTAACAGTGGTACACTTTCATTTTGGTACCAAGTATACACGACGACGTTCTTTTTGGCCATCTAGCAGATCGGAACTCTCAGGTCCCCGACGTTAAGCATTCTTCATGTCACTGTCTTCAAACATGTACTTCTTATCTTGACAATTTTCTTAAATAGATGCTCTCTGTAGTAGTTAAGATTTCTATTGGAGATATTTGAGGAGATCATCTATAGCAAGGATACATATAAAAAGAGGATAAAATCACGAATTTTATTGTTTCCTCTCTCACATTTTGTTATATCTAGGAAAGTAAAGCTGGCAGAGCGGAAATAGTACAACTTTTCCTCCCGTTTAAATAAACTCATATGATTGGCTAATTTCTTAAGGTGTATTCAATCAACATAATAAGTATACGATGAACATTTTTTTCAGATGCTTCATAATTTCTTTTGGCATTCTTGATCGTTATAGCTGATTGATATTTAAGATTCAGATATCTTATTATATTGTTAACTCGATACTATTTTATATTATTATATTTTAGATCGTTTTGCAACCATCAGTTGAAGTTCGTTCGTACAGTGGGCGGTGACTGCGTCTGGGATCCGGCCGCATGAATTCGGTCTATATAACTTAGCAGAATGAACGGTAATTGTGTGACTGGATCTTGGACTCGGTCACTGACAGGTTAACGACTGCTGTACGAACAGGGCGAAAGCAATTGTCAAAAAAGTGTCGCTCAGCTTTTACGGTGAACTTGTAAGGAATGAGGAACCGGTATCTTTATAGATAACAGGGAATTTCGAGACTAGGTGTTAGAGGAGTTTCGGGAGTTCTATGTAGAAAGAAGGCATTGCATTTCACTTATATTCTTCGCCTTGATTCAGTCTTCAACAAACTCGTAATAAGTGTCTTCTGCAAAATAAGTATTGTAACATTAACGGGACTGATTGCTTTGTCGAGTTCTAAATATAACTCAAATATACCATATATGTTATGAAGAAGTTTATTTACACATAATTTCGAAAGTGACGAAAGATGCGTGCTTTGGTTTCCGGTTCTTCAGACCGATTCAAGTACTAAGAGAATCCCTTGACTTTTGGGTCTAGGATCCCCAGAACTTCTCCCTAGAGGAGGGATATTACATACAGGGTGATACACAAGTCGTGACCAAAAATGAAACATCATACACAGGACTGCACTTTAAGAGGGGTCTCCTATGTAAGGGTCTCCTGATTTGAACCCCCTGAATTTCTTCTTGTGGGGTGCTTTTAAACAACTAGTGTATGCTGAACAAATTAATACTGTTGATCAGTTACAAGAACGAATAGGGAATGCGTTTCATCAAATTCAATCCACATCAAATTTTGCGGAAATACGTTTTTCTTTATTGAAAGGATGCTGCACTTATATCCGTCAGAATGGTTGTCTTTTTGAACATTTATTGAAATAAAACTCTGATTATCTAATTTGTTTTATTTTTCTTTTTACGAAAACAGTGCACTCTAGAAAAAAAACACAAGAGTAATTTATTTGTAGCAAATTGAAAGTAAAATTCTAACAATTGTGCGTTTCCAGAAAAAAACAGTGGCGTACTATTTTTATTTGGAAAAATAATGCCACTAATCCCCTGTATCTCTACCACTGATGCAGTTTTGGGTAAAGACTTTTGAATGTGAACAATACTTAGGTAAATCCACATCACAAATTTAAGTTCATTCCAGTTGACGGCTTTGAAGATATTAAAAAAAATATTTTTTATTTTTAAATGTTACCCCCTTAAAATGCGGCCCTGTGCATGATGTTTCATTTTTGGTCACGACTTGTGAGTCACCCTGTTGCTATAGAAGCGAGGTCAAAAAGCATGATGGTTACTGTAAATATGAAACTAAATTCCACAAAATTTGCAAACATTTTGCATATTCATCGTGCCACTACACATCCCTGCTTATCATCAGCATTCTAACCGGTTAAGTTTCAGGAAGATGTCGACGACGATGTGGACTACTTCGATGAAGATGACGCTCCCTGGAACGAACAGAATGACTACCAAGGTCCCAGTCCTTCCTCATCGACGACAAATCGACCACCACCTCCCAAGCCCGTGTCCAGTTTGACACAGTATAAATGGGATCGGTATGGTACCAGGGAACGGGTTGATGAATCGAGAAGACAGCAACTCAACCTTAAGCCAACATCTGGAGGTATGTATCCTGAAAGACCATTAACCAATCTTCATCCTTTGTGAACTCTTAGGTCTTCTACTCAATCCCCTGTAAGCGGGACTATAACACATCTTGAACTTAGATCATGTGGACCGCTCTGGCTCTGGCTGTGGAAAATACAAAATATTTAGCATGAAAGGGGGTTAAACGCAATGTTCTTGTTTCATTTAACAAATACGTTACGTGGTAGTATAATTAGAGATTCAAAATCTTCTAAAAAACTCCGATTACATAGTGGTGAGTCAACGGTCAGACACCACAAATTCAATTTCAGACGATATGTTGCTATAAATTTAATTATGCATTTATATACGTATACTGTGAAATATCCCAAGTCATTGACCGCAGTGTCAGCAACTGCTGATTAACACTGAACTATTCCAATGATGCTGTGTCAGTCATCAGGACTGACACTACATACCTTTTAACTTGTCATGTTATACTTGTAAGTTATATTAGTTGAAGGAAATGTCTCAAGGTATCATACATCTTAAGGACTTTTTGACGGTGATTGTTGAGGCTTTCTATGGCTTTCCTCCGATTAATTACGAATGCAGTCAAAAAATGCATTTCTCTGATAGAAAATGATTTTATTACTGGAAGAAAGAAAACTTCAAGTGCATTAGATAATACTAGTTAGATAGGAGAGATAGAACATCATGCTCAAGGACCCCTACTTTTACTTTTGTGTTCATGCTACGACACGCACGTAATCTGGGTAGCCAACCAATGTCAATATCAGTCTGATGATGATTTTGAAATCATGACGAAATTCGTTATGACTTCTCCAGTGTACTATTGCTTTCCACTGATGACTTTGCTGACGCCAAATAATAAGACTAGGGTAGATGTAACTTTAAGAATGTTTTCGCGGGAAATTTTGAAGTATTTTCTCCTAATTATTTGTTCTTTTTTAATTCTTGCATCCACTGTAGTCTATTCTACATGGAATCCTCTAAAATAAAAATAGTTAAGCAATTATTTAACCGGTTGAGAAAGTGTACCATATAGTCTGCTTTCATAAAAAGCTACAATCAAAAAACAATGCGGAAGGCCTTGACTTTAATAGCAACATAAACACTTTACATAAACAAGAACATCTATTGCATCTTTACTATGTTTGTTGTATAGGCGTTTTACCACTTTTGCTGCTTGAATTCATCAATAAACGCGTTAATAGTGTTGTTTCTATTGGTTTTGTAATAAAAAACGATAATAGTTGCGTGAACCCTAATTAAACGACGACTTTAATTGAGTATAATTACAGCCAGAACCACATAAATTTAGATTAGAGAAAATTATCTTCTAATGGAGCATCTGAGATTATATCGACTCACGGACGTGACGACAGAATTTTCGGGTATATCGAGGATTAAATGATTAAATAATTTGATTGATCATTGACGGAGTGTATAAGCATCAATTTTGTTAATTAATGCTGTATTAGGAATCAATTTGACACAGGAGGATTATAGATATGCTATGCACTCGATCGTCGACGTCATTGATATTTTCTCCGCCGCTTTTTACCTGTTGTGGGCGGTGACCTGACTTTTAACGCGGATACTTCAAAAATCAAAGCTCATACTTGTCAGGTATCTCGGAAAATAAAGAAAGTTGGAAGGAGGATGGAGTCTAGTTTGTAGAAATGATCCAACTAATTTGGCAAGTATCACAATAAATAATACTAACGCAATGGTTTAATGTATCTAACAGTTTCTCTAAATGCGTAGTGGTTGGTATCTGCCACCGAAGCCTCTTTTCATAGTTTTCTGTAGTTCGGGATCCCACCGCTTGAATCAGCATGTATGTTTTTTTATAATGAATGATAAATAACCGATCGATAATTCTGATATTGCGCATAATATCTGAAAAAATTAACTATGCGGTGACCCAAACATGCATTTTTTAAATGGAAAGCATTACATTTTATTGCATATTTGGATCCACTCTTTAAAATGAAGTAATTTAATATAACAGTCAAATTGTTGAGATATTGGACAATCTATTGAAAAAAAAACACTGGCAACTCACACCTCCAACTGTTCTATTGAATTTTATGATCCCATATTTTTCGTTATCCATTTACTTTTTAAGTATTTTGAATAGTGTATACATTGTAGTCAATAGGCATGAATTAATTATTTCTCAGAATTTTCAAAATGCTGATTCTAACGATCTGCTATTTTTTACTTTGCAAGGTATTGTAGTATTGTTCATTCGTCTTGATATCTGATTCACACACAGGTTAGCTATAACACAAACCCGGCCGTACAAAAGAAAAGAAAAGAAGCTTGTAAAAAGGAGAATCAAGGAATGTGGAAATGCACACCTGCATTTAAAATTTTTGAGAAATCTTTCATTTTGCGTTCTTGACACCTGTTTAGGTTATTCAAATACTGAAAAACTGAGTAGATAGAAACAAAATAGGGCAACATATGAATTTTTCAAATGTCAGTGTTTTATTTGATATATCGTCAAATATCTGAAAAATTTGAAAAAATAATCCTGTAGTATGGAAACGGTGTATCCAAATCTGCAACAAAAAAAATATGCTTTCCATTTAAAAAATGCATGTGTGGATCAACGTATGGTTATGAGTCACCCTGTAGAGATAAAAATATTTTCAAAGAATGGACCATACTGTTGTCTACGTTTTTTTTATCAACTTTTTCAGATACTCTGCGCAATAACAGTTATCGAGCCTACACTAAGAGCTTACCCTGTATTTCATTACAGGTAAAATCCATGACGTAGTCTAATATACCACTATTCAGCGGGCGCATCGCTTATTGTTACTGTTTCGTCCTGCTTTCACCACCCTTATCATACAACGGTACTTGATGGATTTTTTCCATCGTTCCAGCTTATTCATGGGTGGCCGGATTACTGCTCGTAAAGAAATACTTTCCAAAGAAAACTATGGGTCATTATACATAGTACCGAGGGACATATTTCTGGAACTTCTTCTAAAGAGTGTCCCAATTCACTTCAAGGTTATTTTTTAATAGATTGCTCTATCAAAGCCTATAAGTATGTTTCATCAATGGTCCTATTTCAAGAGGGTCTGCCCTGTAATGTATTCTTCAATAATAATTATTGACTTCTATATGTGGGTCAGAAACCCAAAAACGGTTTTCCAGAAAAAGTTTTGCAATATTCCGTCCCCACATGGATGGGCCACCCTGTACAATTGTTGTCTAACGGGACGTCGTGACATTTCTTAAATACAGTAGACATTCTAAATCAGAAGGCCTGTTTAGTAAGTGGACAATCTAGAAAGGAATTCAACTGAACAAAGAGTTTGACAAATGTCGGTTCCATTTACTGTGGAGCTTCTTGTCTTCTGAGTAGATAAATAGGTATCGAACGATCGAAATGATGTTGTGCAAGGTCATTTTTGGAAGATGTGCACTGTATCAGCAGGGATGAAGTTATGAGCGGCTTGCACTAACTATAGTTGTAGTCACCGTTCTTGGCGGTTACGTCATCAACGCCATTTGAAATACGGAAACAGATCGAGTCTCCGTACCATTTGCAGATCTTTAGGGCAGATGTGGTGACATGTTGTCCTTTACTTCTCATATCGTAAAAAGTATTCCCAATTTCTGTTTTGACGGCATCCCTTCATCGGTCTTGCATTTTTTGATTTTGTGAGTTTCCCCACGTGTTACTATCGGCAAACCTTTCTTATTTTCTGATTTTATCCTCTGAACACTGCGCAGACTAATCTTCAGCGCATCTGCTACTCTCTCCGGTACGCATAAAGGTTGATTCTCATTATACATTCCGTTTCCATTCCGTAACCGTTCCGTGAATTATTGAAATTAAATATTCGTCTTCGCTTAAAGCAGGCTATTGCGTGTGTATGCACATTATCCGTAAGGTATACTTTGTATACAATCACATTGTACGGAATATATAGTGAGAATCAACCTTAAAGTGGGTAACAGGGGACCGCTGTTTTCATTCTCTTCCTGGAAATACTCTAATAAATTTAGCACCGAGCTGTGGGTCTTCTCCGTTGATCGTATTTCCGTGCATTGTACAATTTTATATTGAAGATTGATAACAGGACAACTCAAATTGCACGCCGATGTCACTCTGACAAATATGATTGAAGGGCACTCATACGTAACGACAAAGTTTTCGCGACGGAGCCACATAACTAACAAACGTATGTCTTTGAGCTTACCGAACAAACGTTCACACAGAGAGGTATAGTCAACGCCAAACAAAGTGGCGTGCACGTCATCACGATAAAAATTCCCCGACCTAATGCCTAGGTTTCTATCACAAACAATTGCTCTATTGCAGTTTCATATTAATGTGATATATAAATTGTAAAATGGTCATTACTCTCTTATTATGGTTAATAGTCATATAAACATTGTTATTAAAATATCACATAAGTTGCTTTCTGATAAATTTAGACGCATTATGCGAAATAAAATGTTTTGCAAACGCTCCAATCACTTATCGACATGTAAACGCACTAAACCGATTTCGCAGCGTTGACACATTGTCACCTTGAAACTTATTTAAACTGGGAACTGACATTTGTATTAATTTTGACACTGAATCAATTTGTGGCATTTCAAATCTTTATAAATCCTTTGGCACCGCATACTGTAAATCAACAACTGTTTGTTTCAAAACAAAATTATTCATTTTACGAGTAGATAAAGGCAATTTTGGTATATAAAGATGCCCAAACAGTTAAATAGTCGGTGTAAGGAACTAGTGGCCTCGTTAATGCACTACTTTGAGCAAGAAAGGGACAACAACGGGCCTTTGTTGCCTTTAAATGCTGTTCAAGAGGTAGGTTACTAATAATTATATGTAATGTATATTAATAATAGTGAAATTTTATTTCATTTTTTGTAGCGTGTTGCTGCTGCTTTAAAAATTAGTTTAAGGACAGTTAGTCGTATTTCCGAGGGTGTGAAAAGTGATGCAAATTTAGAATCGCCCAAGAA